GAGCATGAACTGGTGGAAATACTGGGCTGCGTTGGGCTGCCTCTGCAGGGCCTGGAGAGCCTGCCGTAAGCAGAAGGAAGACACCACTCAAGCACAGAACCTGCGGAGAGGACTTCTTCACCCAAAGGGTGATTAATGCATGGAACTCACTGTCACAGGGGGTGGCAGCGGCTACAAGCACGGACAGCTTCAAGAGGGAATTGGATAAGCATGTGGAGCAGAGGTTCAGTTGCTGTTAGCCACCAGGTATAGACAGGAACTCTCGGTCTGGGGCAAGGGATGCTCTGTATCCTTGGTGCCGGGGGGGGGGGGGACGGGGGGGGGGGCCCCGTGGCCCCGTAGTGTCCTGGCCCCACTGCTGGACCTCCTGATGGCACCTGGTGTTTTTGGCCACTGTGTGACCCAGAGTGTTGGACTGGATGGGCCACTGGCCTGATCCAACGTTGGCTTCTCTTAAGTTCTTATAAGAGGGAACTGGATAAGCATATGGAGCAGAGGTCCATCAGTGGCCATTAGCCACCAGGTATAGATAGGAACTCTCGTTCTGGGACAAGGGATGGTCTGTATTCTTGGTGCCTGGGGGGGGGGGAGCAGCAGTGGGGGGGCTCCTGGCCCCACTGCTGGACCTCCTGATGGCACCTGGTATTTTGGCCACTGTGTGACCCAGAGTGTTGGACTAGGTGGGCCATTGGCCAGATCCAACGTTGGCTTCTCTTATGTTCTTCTGCAGCCTCCCATTCTCATGGGCAGGGGCAAGGAGGGACCACTGATGACCACCTACATGGAAGAGAAGCCCTCTGAGGGCACCTAATTGAGCTCAGCTGCCGCTCCCAGGGGACAGACAGTGTAACTGTGGACTAATGGATGCCGTCTGCTATAATAGAAACGCTAGGAGCACAATACTGAACTGTATTTGTTAGTAGGCACAAAGCAGGAACAATCAGCATGGTTTCTTGGCATCTCTTTACACTAAACTGGAGGTGCAGCCTCTTAACTGGCAGCTGCTTCGCTCATTGGCCAGATGGGTGTCTCTAGGAGAAGCCCCGCCACCCCTAGCTCCGCCCACTGGGAGACCTTGGGGCTTCCCAGACACCAAGTGACCTCACTTCCTGAAGAGAACAGTACCCGTTGGGCCAAGAAAACCCACAAAGACATAAAGCCAGTGGCAGACTTCTACAAATGCACCACATCCCAGAGACCTCAAGAGCAGCCCCTCATTTTCTAGTCTGAGAGAACCGAGTTTGATTCTCCGCTCCTTCTCATGCACCTGCTGGTGTGACCCTGGGTTAGTCACAAGTTCTCTAAGAGATGTTCTCTCAAGAGCAGTCCTCGAAAGAGCTTTCTCAGCCTACCTCACATGGTGTCTGTTGCGGGGAGAGGAAGGAGGAGGAGGAGGAGATTGGATTTATACCCCTCCCTTCACTACCCAAAGGAGTCTCGGAGCGGCTTACAATCTCCTTTCCCTTCCTCTCCCCACAACAAACACCCTGTGAGGGAGGTGGGGCTGAGAGAGCTCTGACAGAAACTGCTCTTTTTCAAGAACAGCTGTGCCAGAACTACGGCTTGCCCAAAGTCATCCAGGAGATGCAAATGGAGGAGTGGGGAATCAAACCCAGTTCTCCCAGACTAGTCCGCACACTTAACCACTACACCAAACTGGCCAGATGGGAAGGGAAAGATTGTGAGCCGCTCTGAGACTCCTTTGGGTAGCGAAGGGCAGGGTATAAATCCAATATTTTCTTCTCTTCTTCATAGCAGAGGTGCACCACCTTACCTTCCCTGCTAACGTCTACAGGGCGGACTGTTCTTGGCCAAACCGCTGGGTGGGGGCAGAAAGGGAACGGTGTCATGTGGGGCCCCAACAAAAGCTTCTCCTCCCCCATCTCGAGAACTGGCCTTTCCCCGCCCAGAGCACAGGCATCAATAACTGGACAACCTGAGCCACAATGGCCTTTTTTATCTTCTCTTTGGGGAGAAGAACAAGACTGGGCACAGGAGGAGAAGGAACGACACTGAAGGCGACTGAGCATTATCCCGTGGGGGAGAAGAGAGGCAGGACTGAACCCCACTGCTCCGTCTAGCACAGGAAACACCACGCACCCCATGCCCATGGCTTGTTCTGGCAGGGGCCCAAATGAAGTCATTTATTTCTTCACTTCATTTATACCCCCATTTTTCTCCTCATGGGGGGGGGCTCAAAGTGGCTGTACTTAAGATGCAGCTAGACTTATTTTTAGTTTTACGGCAAACCATCAGTATTCACGCTTGCAAACACATGCACTGCAAAGCAGAAAACTTAATGGACCCTTTTCTTGTCCATTTAATGATAAGGTCCTAAATCTTAATCTCTTCTTCTTCTTCTTCTCCAGACATCCTCCTCCTGTCCTCCATTTTATCCTCATGACAACCCCATAAGGTTGGCTAGGCTGAGTGTGTGTGTGACTGGCCTGAGGTCACCCAGCAAGCTTCCGTGGCAGAGCGGGGATTCGAACTGAGGATTCGCAGGCCCTAGTCCAACAACACTCTGGCCGCTAAAACCACTCAGGCTTTCTGTATGTGAGCTGGCCATCTTAGCCAGGTTTCATGGAGACGGAGGGATGCCCTGGCTGAAAGAACACTTGGGGGGGGGGCGCTTCTCACCTGCACTGCCTGCCGTTCGTAGAGTGTCATCTGTGAAATCTGAGGGCGGGTGCTTCCACCAGAGCCTGAGCTTCCGCTGGCTGAGTTCGAGTTCTGCTCGCTTTCTGTCTCCATGGCGGCAGGTCTCGGAGAAATACCCTTGACTTTTTATCTTGAGCTCTGGAGAAAGGAAATTAGAGGGTTACTTCCCTGCAAAGAACCACACTCCCTTGCCTCCCTCTACATTTAAACATTTAAGGCTTAATTCTGCATAAGCTTTCGTGTGCCTGCACATGGAGAAGTGGGCATGCACATGAAAAATTATACCCAGAATTAAACTTCGTTGGTCTTAAAGTGCCACCGGACTCAGAACTTTGTTCTGTTGCTTCAGACCAACACGGCTACCTGCCATTATTTTTTTACGTACTTTATTTACAGTCTACGTTTCTCACTGAGACTCCAGGTGGATCGTGCAGCGTTAAGTCAGATACAATCAACACGATGGGACATCTGGCAACAAAGCAACAAGGTTGGCCTCACAGAGGTCTCAAAACAAGGCAGAAATCTAAAAACCAAGCTGAAACAAAGCTAAGCATTGACGCGACATGTTAAATGATGCAGGGTTTAGGTAGCAGGACCATGCTTAACAGCAACAGGCAGTACATGCTATACACAATAGTACAGCCTGCAGTTTCGACATCCCTTTATAGAAGCATCTTCCTGATCCATTCTGTTACAATAGCTCTATTACCTTAGCATCTAGTTTTGCATAGTGTGCAGAAAGCCAGGGGGCGGAGGCCTTCCTCGCCCCCTCGGGCAGGCCGTTCCATAAGGTAGGGGCCACAACGGGGAATGCATGCGTACGGGCAGTTGTCGGTTTTGCCCGCTTGCAGAGCGGCACCTGAAGAAGGCCCTGCTCAAATGAGCAAAGCTGTGGTGGTGCGCAGGGGGGGGAGACTGTCCTGCAAGGACCCAGTCCATGCAGGGTTTGGTGTGTGACAGCCAGAACCTTGACCTGGACTGGTTAACGGATGGGCAGCCAATGGAGTGACTGCAGAATGGGCGTAATACACGTGCCCTACCTAGCTCGTGATAAATAACCCAGCTGTGGTTGTTCTGCACTAACTGACTTCAAGGGGATACCTATGTAGAATACATTACAGCAGGGGTGTCGAATTCATTTGTTATGAGGGTCATATCTGACATAAATGAGACCCTGTTGGGCCGGGCCATGTGTGTCATAAAATGTAATGCCAGGTAGCGGAGATATAAACTTTATAAAGGACACAGACACAAAGGGACTTTTTTTACTTAAAATAAAAAACATGCTTAAAACATTAGCACTCTTGCAATATTTTGTTTATTTAACAGTGTCTCATAACTGACACCTCTTGCTCTGAATTACTGCATCAAAATGTCTGTGCTGTTGCAGTCTTCAGTATGCTGTTCAGGTGTGTGTCTGTAAGCTGCAAACCTACAATGACACAGCAGCAGCAGCAGAACTGGAAGAAGAAGCAGCCTGATAGAAGCCCTCCGGGGGCCCAATCTGGCCCCCGGGCCACATGTTTGACACCCTACATTACAGTAATCTAGTCTCGATGGCGCCATGGACCCAGATTCTTCATGCAGCCTAGCCCAAACCTATGAGAAGTCTTGCCTACAGTACAGAGAGGAGATTCTGAACACACCTGACAGGACGATAATTCAGACAACAACTGAAGAGACCATTTTAATGTATATAACGTATCAACGAAACGTTGCTTTTATTGTACAAAGGGAAGTGTTGTTACCCACCCTGAGACGTGCGGACTTGCATGGTTTATACCCATGTTTCCGTTCCAGTGAAGCAAAGTTATAACGAAACCTAAACCAAGATATGAAGGCCTCTCAAAAAAACTTGGAAAATTCCGAGGAAAGGGATCTCCCCTTCCCTGAGGACTTTTTTAAAACCTTTTTCCCAACAACAACTACAAAATAAAGTATAGGGAATATTAGGGAACCCTGGAAAAAAACCTCTCCTGGAATGTGTGTGAAATGCCTTACAAGATTAGGTTTTATTCACTCAAAATATGTAGAACGGACAATTTGATGTAACAATCTATAGCATCAGGTAACGATTATTCCTACTTATATTGCAGATACATGTGACTTTATTTTCCAAGGATAGGTTTATTGTTTAAATCCGAATATTTGGCCGACAATATGCCATTGTGTATGTTGGTAATACATTACTAAGAAGACTGGTGTTTCCGACATTATAAAGTTCAACTTGATATTTAAATTTAAATTAAATATTATTACAGGTCAGAAACTCTCACAACCATTAAAACACTTTTACTGTAGGACTGTGACCACCATTTTAATGTATATAACGTATCAACGAAACGTTGCTTTTATTGTACAAAGGGAAGTGTTGTTACCCACCCTGAGACCTCTTGCAGGAAGGGTGGGCTATAAATATGAATGAATGAATACATAAATGTATGTGGCGGCGGCCCTATCGTAACTGCATGAGGCGGTTTCTGCCCAAATAAGATGCCTTCTTTTGTTTACCACCACACTTATTTTCTAATTTCAGGGTTTGTTTTGTTTTTCTGCCTCTCAGACGGCAGAAATGAAGAGACATGGACTGAGGTAGAAGGGGGCAGCCATTCGCAGGTCTCTCAAGCATTACAGAGCTTGCCGTTTTTGCTTGGAAAAAACTAAGGCATTTATCCTTTTAAATCTCATAAATATGCCAGGCAGTGCTATTTTATAAGCTGGCTGAGTTATAAATAATGCAGGGCCTGTTGTTAAAGCAGTAAAATACATCTAGGAAAGAAGTGAAAGTAAATATTGCACATATTTCAATTTTTCCCCTAAATCACTAGGGGTGGGGGGGTATTCCCACCATGGCTTTGAAATTCAGTTTCAGCCAAGCTGGTTTTTGACCTATCATTTGCAATTTTTAGCACCCCTTCCCCCTCGAGAACAAACAGATTTGGCCAAAATATGCACAACAGTCATTACTTCCAAGAACTACTTCATCAAGGAGACCATTATGCAGAACTTTTTTGGGGGGGAAATCTTCAGTTTCCTAGCCTTGCTGAGTATGCAAACACGTATGCTACAATCTTAGTTCTAGACGTCATGACTATTTCAAAGTTTTTGCACTGTAAATTCTGAATCAAAGCAAGTATCATAACATGCAGCAAAGATATAAGCTTTTGAGAGTCAAAACTCCCTTCATCAGATACGAGAGGGGATGAAGACTTGAGTCCTTATATCCCAGTTTAAAGATGGGAAGGGTGCTGCTAACAAGGAACTCAAGAAGCAGAGGTACAATGCACACTGTAATCACACAGATTAGAGCAGAAATGCTTTGGGGCAGAAAATTAGCATCTGTCATGAGATAAGAATCCTATGTCCCTATTAAGCCCTGGGGGTGGAGTCCAGTATTCTGAATTTGTGACCAAACTCAAGTTCAGCAAACTTGCATTGTACTCTCCCCTTGAAGTTTCTCTGTTTGAGGACGGCCACTCTTAGGTCAGCAATGGAATGACCTGGAAGATTAAAATGTTCTCCCTCTGGTTTTTTTAGTGTTGTGGTTTTTAATGAACCCCACTGCGGTCAGGGTGACCACCTGGCAATACGTCCCAGCTCCTGTCCACCCAGCAGTTCAAAAACCCATTAAAGGGCAAGTAGATAAAATGGGTACCTGCTATTAGAGCGGGGGGGCACCCGCCCCTGGCGTAGCAGCGACGGTGGAGAGCGGAGAGCGATAAAGCGGCGGCTGAGAAAAATGGCGGCTGGCGAGGCGAGGAGGTAAACGAAGGAGGCCGGACCAACAAGGTGCGGAGGCAGAGCGACGCAGCAGGCCGGAGCCTGACCTGGACCGAGGCCGCTACGAGCATGCGTGGAAGCACAAAGTGGACCGGGCCTGGAGATGGAATTTGCGACAGTCGGAAAAAGTGGAACTGCGAAGACCTGCGCCAGAGAAGGGTCGCCGCCGGACTGTCCCCTCGCAAGAAGATCTGCTACAACAGAATAAGGGTGCCTGGTAGGCTTCTCACCGTCCCTACACATATGTGGCCCTAGATTAGGATTGTATGAATTAGAATTGTAAGCCGCTCAGAGCCCTTAGGGGGTGAGTGGGATAGAAGCCGAAGGATAAATAAATAAAAATAAATAAAAACCTGAGAGGGTACGTATAAAGTTTTGCTCCTTTCTGAGAGCCCTTAGATATAACATTTGTAAAGGCCCCTCTCCGTAGTGTTTTGAGATGACGCGTGTTATGCTGTCTTCTTGCCCTCCTTAACATTTTATTCTTATTTTTGCTGCCACCAAAGACTCTTGGCCTTAGAATTTTTAGTTGAACTGAAGGAACAGAATGGCTTAGTTATAGCTGGTAGTACAACAGAACCGTCAGTGTGTGGGGGGATATGTCAAAATAGGAGACAGATGTGTAAAAGTATACTTTTACACATCTCCTATTTTTACATATCTACTACCTCACTGTTTGCCCCCCTCAATGAAATCCAAACAAATGGTGACCTATGAACTTAAGCTTACTATTGCTGTTTAGTCTGCATACGTCAAAACAGCTTCATTACGTTGTATGTTAATTTGCTGTTCATCTATGTAGAGGCACCTGCCTGTATATATGAACTGTTAACTTCCATTTCAATATACCTGAGGAAGTGCGCATGCACACAAAAGCTCATACCTTGAATAATCTTTTTTTGGTCTTAAAGGAGCCACTGGACTAAAAATGTGTTCTAACTGGGAATAAGATATTGCTGTCTGGAGAAAACCTCCTCTTCAATGAGGCAAAAGAGGTCATGTAAGAAGAGGAAAAGAAATCAACCCTGACTGTTCCCTGGAATGAACACTGAAGCTCATTTGGCCACCCAATGAGAAGGGAGCACTCACTGGAGAAGACCCTGATGCTGGGAAAGATTGAAGGTCAAAGAAGACGGGGACGGCAAAGGATGAGATGGTTACGAACATGAAATTGAGCAAACTTCAGAGGACGGCGGAAGACAGGAAGGCCTGGCATGATCTGGTCCATGGGGTCGCGAAGAGTCAGACTCGACATGATGCTGGGAAAGACTGGAGGTCAAAGAAGAAGGGGACGGCAGACGATAAGATGGCTAGACAGTATTATCGATGCAGCTAACATGAAATTAAGCAAACTCTGGAGGATGGCAGGAGACAGGAGGGCCTGGCGTGAGGTGGTCCATGGGGTCACGAAGAGTTGGACTCGACTGTGTGACTGAACAACACATTTTGCAGTGGTTGATTTTGCTGTTGCGTCATCTACGCTGTGATTCCTCTTGTGGTACAGAACCATACAGATACATCCACCCGAGGACACAAACATCCCCCTGGATCTGGGGGTGCAGGGACAAGGTGCCCCATGCATGCATGCAAGCAGAGGAGGAACCCATGCCTTAACTTGCGTTGCAGCAAGTGCCCCTCTCCTGCACTGCAGCTTTACTGTAGACGGCATTCAGCCACCCTTCCCTCTCTGGTTCTTTCACAGGATAAGTACTCACAGCAGAACACCATGCAGGTGTAACCCTGCACGTGGGCTGCGGGAACAAGAAACACAACCATTTCTGGGTGACGGTGCCAGTCAATTCAGCCACGGCTGGCCAGCTGCTCACGATCCCTTCCGCCTTGCAGGATTTACAGCACCACGACACGCAACAGAGGTCCCCTGCTCCACTACCTCTCTCGACTGGCAAAACCCAGCATCTGAAAGCCCTCTTGGGTACGCTGTGACAGTGACAGCTCTACCTTGCTTTCAGAACCAATACTCTTCAATAAGAGCCTATACGGCTTCAGGGCTGTTTGATAGACGGGGATTGACTCCCACCAAACGTTCGGGACTAACCTGAGCAATCTGTGGCACAGAACCCACACCGGGAGAGTGTGGAGAGGATCGTCCACGGCCGGCACAGTTATGCTGTAGCAAGCGGGAGTGGAAAGTTTGCCCTACATGAGCATTTTTCCCCAGTGAGCGATTGGGGAGACGACAGATGACTGCAAATGCACAGTTGCGTTTTCCAGTGTTGTTGGCTTACTGTCTATGTGCCTTACCAAATATTGCTTTGGGGGGGATTCCCCCCCCCCCAGGACTTCAAACCATGCCTGGCTGAGGCCCTGGGATTTCTCCGGGTGGTTTCCCTTGGCAACTGAACTGTGGAGCCCTCTTGGGTGATCCGGGTGGATCAGCCATAACTGCTTCCCAGTGTGTCGGCCTGTAAAATGGGAGTGGAACCCCCCCCCACCTGCAGAGTTACCGGAAGCAAGCCATGGCCCTCACCGAGCGTGTTTAGAACATGAGCGGAGCCAGGTGGGACTTTTGCTCAGCAAGGCTTCCGACTGGCCACTGGAGAGTGGATGGGCTGTGCAGATTTTTTTAAAAATGTTGCTTTGGCAGCAGCTGCCATCGTAGCACAAGGATCTTAACTTTGTGAGTGAAGGTAAGCTGCAAGAGCCACTACGTGTCCGGCTCTGCCATTTTGTGGCTGCGCCCACCGTGCTGTGTTAGAATTCCAAAGGTGCCCACAGGCTCAAAGAGGTTGGGGACCCCGGAACCCCTCTCTTCCTATACACTTTCCCTTCTTGTGACCTGTTTATTGGTGAGTGCAGGCTGAACGACATCAGGAAGGCACATCGACAGGTACTCGTTGGCTGCCGCCATACGTGACAGATGCCAGGGCGTCATTAGCAGGGCCAGCCTGTGAGTGGTGGGTGTCAACAGTGCTGGCATAGACTGTGGTGCAGCTGTTATGTTCTCTCTTCCTAGAGTTCCGTTTTTTATTAAGATGCTTTCTGCTGAGAAAGCATAAGGGCCCCACTAGGCATGACGGAACAGCACTGGCCTTCAGGACTCTGCCTGGCTCAGACAATCACTCTTTTTGATCAACCCTGCTTAAGTGAAAACACGTCAGTCGAGGTCTTACCAAACATAACCGAACATGCACAGTAACGTATCTATTAAGTTTGTTTGTGAATGCTGAAAGTGCACATTACAAAAATTGCTATTTAAAAAGTTAACGATCGGTTGAGGACAAACTGTTGGTGGAAAGCCCAACACAGAAAGGGGCGCATTAGGTGGTGAATAGTTTCAGGAAACATGAAGTCTGGACCGAAGGCTGATGTATCTCAGCCCATGGAACTCACTGCCACAGGAAGTGGTGGCGGCTACAAGCATGGACAGCTTCAAAAGGGAATGAGATAAGCATATGGAGCAGAGGTCCATCAGTGGCTATTAGCCACAAAGTATAGATAGGGACTCTGGGGCAAGTGATGCTCTGTCTTCTTGGTGCTGGGGGGGGGGGGTCAACAGTGGGAAGGCTTCTAATGTCCTGGCCCCACTGGTGGACCTCCTGATGGCACCTGGTATTTTTCGCCACTGTGTGACAGAGTGTTGGACTTGATGGGCCTTTGGCCTGATCCAACATTGGCGTCTCTTATGTTCTTAACACCCTGTGTACAGAAAGAAGCAGAAAGGAACCTGGTGGAATCTGTACAGAACTTCTCGTAACAGGGAAGTCAGCTGTCAAACTGGAACTGCTTTAAACTCGAAAAAAGGGCATTCCCAGGATTCCAGTTGTATTCATGGCCATAATGTCCCAAGTGAAACCGATCCCTCAGCTCTTACACAGAAAGAATTTTATCTGTTATAACAAGACAGTTGTCACGTCAGAACTCTCTTCAGTCAGACCAATGGTCCGCCTAGTCCAGCATCCTGTTTCACAGGACAGCCACGCAGATGGCCCTGCAGGGCCTATGAACAAGGCAGGGAGGCCAACGACCTCCCCGCACACCCCAACACTGCTCTTCAGGAGGATATTCACCCACAGCACCTAGGGAAGATTTCCTTCTGGCATGTTCAGAATACTCACACGGGCACACAAATCTACAAATTATAATTCCTCTCCTCACAGATGATCCCAGTTTGGAGAGAAGGTTGGGTTGCCGGCCTCCCCTCGGCCACCAGCAAGGAGGGGAGGTGGTTAAGGTTGCCAATTCCAGTTCAGGAAATTCCTGGAGACCGGAAGGGGTAGCCTGGGCAGGATAGGGACCCCAGTTGGCTACTGCAACCCCATGCAGTCCATCCTCCAAAGCTTGGGTTGCTAGGTCCATCCTAGCAACAGGCAGGGGATGGGGAGGTTGGGTTACCAGAGTCAGGTGGGGAAACGCCTGGAGATTAGGAGATAGAGCCCCGGGAGGACAGCGACCTCAGTGTGGTACAATACCATAGAGCCCACCCTCCAAAGCATCCATTTCCCCCAGGGAAACTGATCCCTGTAGCCTGCAGATGAGGCATAGTTCCCCGGGGGGGGGGGGTCCTGGAGGCTGGGATCCCTATCCAGGAGAGCCGATCTTTGTCCTCTGGAGATGAGCTGTGGTTCCAGGAGATCCCCACCTGGAGGCTGGCATCCCGAGGGAAAGCGTGCAGGACACAACTTCAAAAATAACACTCCAGTATTAGACTAGTTGACGCCACAAGATGAAATACCAGATAGAATGATAACGTAAAGATTAAGTAGCTTAGTATCTCCTTCTCTTCTCTCTCCAGTTGGGTGTAGTGGTTGAGTGCATGGACTCTAATCTCAGAGAACCTGATTTGATTCCCCACTCCTCCACTTGCACCTGCCGGATGACCTTGGGCAAGGCATAGTTCTGATAAGAGCTCTTCTTGAAAAAAAGAGCAGTTTCTGTCAGAGCTCTCTCAGCTCCACCTACCTCACAGGGTGTCTGTTGTGGGGAGGGGAAGGAGTTTGTACGCTGCTCTGAGACTCCCTTGGGTAGTGAAGGGCGGGATATAAATCCAATCTCCTCTCTCTTCTCTCTGGATGACCCTGAGCAAGCCACAGTTCTGTCAGAGCTGTTCTTGAAAAAGAGCAGTTTCTGTCAGAGCTCTCTCAGCCCCACCTACCTCACAGGCACTGTTCCCTCTAAGCTGAGCTAGCTCCCAGTTTTTTAGCCTCCAGCTCACACATATTTGTCTTAGCTCAGGAAGGATGGTTTCAGAGCAAACCAATTTAATGCAGTAGTCAAATGGCTGGCTCACAACTTTAATGCCAGTAGCTCACAAAGTAAAATTTTTGCTCACATGACTCCACAGCTTAGAGGGAACATTGCTCACAGGGTGTCTGTTGTGGGGAGGGGAAGGGAAAGGAGTTTGTAAGCCACTCTGAAACTCCTTTGGGTAGTGAAGGGCGGGGTATAAATTCAATCTCTTCTTCGTCTCTCTCTTATTTTCCCCTTCCCCTTGATACTCTCAAGTATACTTCTGCTCTACTGCTCTACTGACAAGAGCTATGACTCAATGCTGCAATGGTTATATCATTTATAAATGTTACATTCTTAAGCTGGCCCATAGCCAGTGTTCCCTCTAAGCTGAGTTACTGTGAACTAGCTCACAGTTTTTTAGCCTCTTGCTCACACATTTTTGTCTTAGCTCAGGAAGGATGGTTCCAGAACAAACTGATTTATGCAGTTGCCAAATCCCTCGCTCACTACTTTAATGCCAGTAGCTCACAAAGTAGAATTTTTGCTCACAAGACTCCACAGCTTAGAGGGAACATTGCCCATAGCTAACATTGGGCCCATTGGGCCCGGCCCCCTAGTGTTTCTTCTGGGACCGCTCCCTCCTGGGCTGCCCCCAAAGTGCTCCAAGTTACCAGCTGCACTGTACTTCCATTTAATTAGCTGGTGGTGGCCCCCACTCAAAGAATTCCCTAGCTACGGGGCTGTTCTTAAGCCCCTGTATCTCGTATGTACCTTCCAATAAAATTGTAATTAAAAAAAAAAAAGAAACACGAGAGAGACAAACGCCTGTGTCTGACCATCTCTCCCCACCCCCCATCCTATGCAGGGAGGGGGGATTAAAAGAGCTTCCCAAACATGCGAAGCCACGAGATTTTTCACTCCAGACGCCCACCGTTCATACCTGTGCAAGCAGGGGGGGATGAAGGCTCACCGGTGCCCTGAGCACTGACCCAATCTTGGTGGGGCCCCCTCCTTTCCACACTGACCCCCAGTCCGTTTTAGCGGTTGACCCGTCTGATCAGATAGACAATGCAGGTTCAGCAATACAAAAACTTATTCATAGGATAACACAATAATACTGTACAAACGAAGCTTTCCACCCCTTTCCCAACTTTGTGGGGGCCCCTTTGGCCCTTGGCTTCGTGGTTAATCTGCCCCTGTGTGTGGGGGGGGGGATGCAGCCCCCCCCCCCCACAGACTATACTCGGCAGCACCGACCCACAAAGAGGGAGAGGGAAAGCGCCTCGTCGGGCACCCCGGGGCCTCCCGTCACGCCCCCCTCCAGGACGGACCTGCAACACACACACACACACACACCCCGCAACGGAGCGACTCCTCGACAGTTTCGGGAAAGCCCCCC